CAAGATGCCAGCAGACCAGTAACGCCATGGCCACGTAGTAACATATAGATGAATAGGAATGGGTTAATTTAAGATGAAAGAGTGAGCTAGCAAGAAGCTGAGGCCATAGGCCATACAGTTAATAATTAATATAAGCCTTTGAGTGATTATTTTATAAGCGGCTGCAGGACCAAGGGGCCGGGCGGGACGGAGAAATTTCCAGCTACAACCCTGTTTAAACAAAACATACCAGGGGGCCAGTAAGATGGCTCAGCTGGTAAAGGTACTTGCTGGGGGGCCTGATTGCCTGAGTGTGATCCCTGGAAACCTCCTGGTAGAAGGAGAGACCCAGCTCCCAAAAGTTGTCCTCTGACTTTCACATTCATGTGTATACAAACACAGACATGGATGGGGCTGGGGAGATGGCTCAGCAGTTAAGAGCACTAACTGCTCATCCAGAGGACCTGGGTTCAATTCCCAGCACCTACATGGCAGCTCAAGACTGTAACTCCAGTTCCAGGAAATTCACATAGACATACATGCAGGCAAAACACCAATGCACATAAAAAATAAATACATAAATAAATGAAAAAAGGAAAACCACAGATACAGGAATACACAACAACATGTATCTATTTAAATAGATAATAAATGTAATGATGAAAAGAGCCTAAAGAACAACATTAACACCAAGTGCTGTAGACTTGGGGATGCTGCTTGTCTACCGTGTACAGGGTTCCAGGTTCAGTCCTTAGCACTGCTGGGACGTGCGTGCACATCGAACTGAACCCTCTGCAAGAGCAGCAGGTGCTCCTGACCTCTGAGCCATCTCTCCAGTGCCTCCTCTGTAGGTTTTTTTTTTCGTTTGTTTGTTTTTTGTTTTTGTTTTTTCGAGACTGGGTTTCTCTGTGTAGTTTTGGTGCCTGTCCTGGATCTCGATCTGTAGACCAGGCTGGCCTCGAACTCACAGAGAACTGCCTGGCTCTGCCTTCGAAGTGCTGGGATTAAAGGCAAGCACCACCGCTGCCCGGCTTCTTCTATGATTTTTGTTTTTGTTTTTTTGTTTTTAATTTATTTTATGTTCATTGGTGTGAAAGGTGTCAGATCCCCTGGAACTGGAGTTACAGACAGTTGTGAGCTGCCATGTGGTTGCTGGGAATTGAACTCAAGGACCTCTGGAAGAGCAGCCAGTGCTCTTAACCTCTGAGCCATCTCTCCAGCCCTCCTCTGTGATTTTTTGATTCAAACTCTTGCATTGAGTTTCTGCCCTGACTTTCCTTTATTATGGATTGTCAGCTGTAAGATAAAGTAAACCCTTTTCTCACAGCAACAGAAAGCAAACTAATACAAGATACAGTGTGTGTGTGTGGACTAAAAAGAAACTCATCACCACACATCTAAAGAGAGACAATGACTGATAACAAGATAACTGTTTAGAAGGAACTGTTCCCAGTCTCCATAGGAAATGGACCAAGATAAAGGATGGTTTCCCTGGCAGGCTTATTCATCAATTTATAGGAGGATGATCCTAGGGAATATTTGATTCTACTTGTATATCTTTAATTATGTAAAATGTATAATTCTATGCAATCAACCTTTTGGAATAGGATGTAAGATTCATTAGTTATAATGATGGGGTAAGGCCGGGCGGTGGTGGCGCACGTCTTTAATCCCAGCACTCGGGAGGCAGAGCCAGGCGGATCTCTGTGAGTTCAAGACCAGCCTGGGCTACCAAGTGAGTTCCAGGAGAGGCGCAAAGCTACACAGAGAAACCCTGTCTCAAAAAACCAAAAAAAAAAATAATAATAATAATAATAATAATGATGGGGTAGCACAGTGGAAGCCCTGTGCGGTGTAGTACCCACTACTTGGCCAAGGGACCGTAATTGGGAAAATATATATGACTCCACATCCATCCAGGATGAGCAGCTTATCAGCTACCATGCCTTTACAATCATCTGCTGCTGTGTGGTGTGCACACCTTTAATCCCAGTACTCAGGAGGCAAAGGGAAGCATATTTCTCTGAGTTTTGAGTCTAGCCTGGTCTATATATCGAGTTACAGGACAACCAGAGTTACATAGAGAGACCTTGTCTCAATAGATAAACAAGTAAATAAATAAAGCATTAAACCTGATGAAGTCAAGCTGCCTGAAATGGCTTATGTCTAGAATCCTGGCACTCAGGAAAGCAGAGGAAGGAAGATCATGACAAGTTCGAGGCTGGAATACAGTGTAAATCTCTGTCCCCAAACAACAAAAACCTTAGTAAAAACCCACTTCTATTTTTCTTTCCTTCTGCACCTATGTGCACAACATCCAGGAGGCCAGAGCACAACGTGAACGAGTCAGCTCTCTCCTATCCTGTGGCACAAACTCAGATCATCAGGCGTGGTAGCAAAGCACCTTTAACTCACTTTGTCACAAGCAACTCAAACCCAGGCCCTCGCATATTAAGCACATTTCTAGACCTCAAAGTTTTATTGATGTATTTTTCTCAATATCATTTTATTTCACGTGCTTCTGTGAACACTCCGCTATAAGCATTTTTCTGAACATCTATAGGCATTTCTGTAGAATTCTCATGGAATTTCTAAAGCGTATGTGTGGTTTGCCCGCACATATGTCTGTGTACCATATGCATGCCTGGTGCCAGTGGAGGCCAGAATTGGGCTTCAGATCTTAGGGCACTGGAGTTACAGATGATTGTGAACTGCTATGTGGGCGCTGAGAATTGAACCCCAGTCCTCTGGAACAGCATCCAGTGCTCTTAACCACTGAGCCATCTCTCCAGTCCACATTAAAGTAGCACACTCTTAAAATTATACAGGGCTGGGAAGAGGATGGTCAGTAAAGTGCTTGTCAGGAAACAAGAGAACCCGAGTTTGGATCTCCAGCACGTACACAAAAAGTGGGAGGTGACTCTCTCCGTGTGTGTGTGTGTGTGTGTGTGTGTGTGTTTTCAGACAGGGGCTCTCCATGGAGTCCTCAATGTCCTGAAGGTCACTATGTAAACCAGACTGGCCTCAAACTCACACAGACCCACCCAGGAGGCAGAGAGAAGATCCCCGGAGATTCTGGTGGCTGGCCATTCTAGCTGAATCAATGAGCTCCAGGTTAAGTGAGAAATTCTGTCTCAAAAAAATAAAGTGGAGAGCAGTCAAGACATCTGACATTGACTTCTGGCCTCTACACACATGAGCAAACACTACACACACACACACACACACACACACACACACACACACACACACACACACACACAATATACAGTTTCGAGTCTGGGGTATATATAGTTCAGTGGTAGAGAGTTACCTAGCATGCAGGAGCCCCTGAGTTTGATTCTCACCACCAAAAAAGAAAGAAAAAGAAAACCTGTCTACAGCTCAATGTACCGACTGAACACACCTGTGTATTCAGTATCCAGATCAAGCACAGAACTAGCCGCCCAAAGTCCCATCATGCTCCTTTCCAGGCACTGTCCTGTCTCACTTAGCAGCACCAATTCCTTTTGCCTGTTTTCAAACTATATATACGTGGAAACTTTTAACGAGATGATATAATTCGGTGTTGTCTATTCTCATTGAGGCACGTTGTACCAATGGATGACTATAGTAGCATTTACCTATCCTGTGGTTGATGGGCATTGAGAGGTTTCCTATTTTTTGTTTTTTGGCTGTTGGGAATAGTGCTTCTGTGAACACTCTGTCACAAGTATTTTGGTGACCGTCTGTAGGCGTTTCTGTAGAAGTCCCATGGAGTTTCTAAGGTTCTAGTGTGTTCATATGTTGACACTTTAGTGGATATGTGCTCTCCAAAGTGATTTGTACCAATTTACATGTGTGTCCAGGCTGTGGCTTTAACATTCTAGTCCTCATGTTCTGATGTCCTCTGTTTAGTATCCTTTTTCCCCTAGAAGAGGGATCTGTGATAAACCCAAGGACATATTAGACCTACGTAAGAGCTCTAGTGCTACACCTCATCCTCAACATGTTTTTTTTAATTAATATTTACATGTATTTAAAAGCTCTTCACATTTACCACTGACATATATCTCTAGAGAGGTAATATGATGGCGAAGGCCAACTGGGGAGAACTTTGGTACTGAGGCCACGCCAGTTAAGGAACTAAAGAGACCCAAGCAGCTGAGGGGGCAGTGTTGGCTCTCAGTAAACCAAAAGTGGATCAGAAGTAGCCATCACGTAAGCCGGACAGGGAGGCCCTCACCTTTAATCGGGCAGAGGCTGCAGGATCTCTGTGATTTGAAGACCAGCCTGTCTCCACAGCAAGCTCCAGAACACTAAAACTACATAGAGAGACCCTGTCTTAAAAACAAAAATAGAGGTTCAAAGCAGTGGTGTGGTGATGCCATGCCTCAAATCCCACCGCTCCAAAGATGGAAGCCGGCGTCAGGAGTTCAAGGCCAGTTCTCAGCCATATACTGAGTTTGAGACCAGCCTGGGCTACATGTAACTTTGTTTCAGAAACAAAATAACAACAAAAATGAAAATTGAGGCTCAAGTGAGCACATTGTTTGATTTTTAGAGAGAAGCCAGAAACCAGGATGTAAAATTTTAGGCAATTTACATTTTTGGAAAACATGGAGGTCAAAACACACACCCCCCTCCCGGGAAGGAGGGCAGCCCTTTTAGTTCTTACACCTGTGAACTAGCCCGCAGGGCTTGGCTTCAGGTGAAATTTGATCCGCAAGTCACCTCACTTCTTACAGCTTAATTTCTTTCCTGGCCAGGGGCAAAACTAAGTTTGTTCATCTGTAATTCCAGAGTCCAGGAATGGTCAGCACTTGACTGCACAGAGCTGCCTCCTCTCCCTATCTTTGGTAAGCTGTCTTTTGTCACCCAGTCTCACTCTATTTAAAGTATTTAGGGGAATTTTCCGTTTCTTTTTTTTCTTAGAGATTATTTTGAATTGTTTGTCTCTGTGTCTGTATGCAGGTATGTGCACATCAGTATAGGCGCTCACAGAGGAGTCGGATCCCCAGGGGTTGGAGTTACAGGTGGTTGTGAACCCGATGTGGGTGTTGGAGGTCCTCTGCAACAGCAGTACAAACTCTTAACCGCTGAGCCATCTCTCCAGCCCCAGTTTTCCTTTCACTAACTGGCTGCTTCGATCAGGGGGAATTCCAGTTCACGCGCATTTTTAAGAAGTCTTGTCGTTGGGATCTTGCTGGGATGCAAGGAGTTAAGAGGAAATGGCCTATTAGGGTTTTGCTAATCCGAGAAACCCAGGACCTCAAAACTATGTAGCCCGCCTGCAAAAGCCACCAGGCGGGGATGGTTGGCCGAGAGGCCCCGGAGGTTCTGCGAGCAACCGCAGAGCAGGACCTAGAACGGCCATGAGCATCCCGAGATCCGCTGGACCAAGGCCCTGACCCAGCGCACGAGATAACGGCGGAGCTCTCGGGCCTGACCCGGGAAACTCAGGTGAGGCGTGTCTCCATCACGCCGTTAGTGGCCGTGCGGCTCCTGCGAGAATCCCGCCGGAGGACAGGAGCCCGCAGCGCGCCAAGTCAGCAGCAGCCCACCCGGGCTCCCGGCTCCGCACGCAGGGGTCCTCCCCGCCACCGCCGCGCCCACCGCGCACGGGGGACCGCCCGGGAGCGCGCGCAGCCGGCCACGGAAAGTTGGCGCCGGCGCGGGGCCGCGCGCTCCGGGCGCCCCCCTCCCACCCGAGGCGCACGTGCCGCCGCGCCCCCCGCTCCCAGGCCCAGACGGGACGCCCCCACCCCCACCGCGGCACGCAGTGCGCAGGCGCCTCCCCGCGGGTCCCGGCGGCGGGAGGGAGCGGGAGCGAGAGAGGGAGGCGGCGGGCACGGCGGGAGCGGCTCCAGCCTCGGCTGAGGGCTGAGGCGGAGAAGGCGGCGGCGGCGGCGGCGGCGGCGGCGGCGGCGGCGAGGCGGCGAAGGTGATGGCGACGCGGGGCCCATGAGGCGGCGGCCGGCGGGACGGGCCGAGGCCCGGCGGAGGAGGAGGTTTCGGGGACGCCCACCGCCGGGTGAGCGGCGGCTTTGAGGGGGACCCGGGCCGGGCGCGGCCGGGCGAACTCTGAGGCACCTCGAAGGCGGCGGCGGCGGCGGCGGCGGCGGCGGCGGCGGCGGCGGCGGGCCGGGCTCCCGGGAGTGGCCGGGCGGGAAAGGTTGCCGCCGGAGGCTTCCCGCCGAGCCCCGAGGGGCGTCGCCACCCGCGTCCCGCCGCCGTCCCCGGCGCGCCCGCCCTCTTTGTCCCCAGGCGCGCGGTTCCCAAATTGGGAGGGAAACGGCTCGGGCGGGCCGGGGGCGGGCGGCGGCGGCGCTCCCGCAACTCCTCAGGCGGTTGGGGGCCCGGCCCGGCCGGCGCTGGGCGGCTGGTCTTTGTCTGGCGACCGCGGCCGCTTCTCCGCGGCGTGCTGCGGGGGTCCGGCGGGTCCTCCGTCTCCCTCGGAGGCTTTGACCCGAGGTTCGGTGCGAGCGCTGCGGAGCGGGAGAGGGGCTGGCGGGAGGACCCGGCTCGTCGCCTCTTGCCGGACGCCTTTTCTTCACTTGAGATGACTTTATCCTCACTTGGTAAAACTTTGGAGCTCTGCGGTGTTTTTTTTTTCCCCTGTGTGTGTGTGTGTTAATTGTTCTTCGTGGAGTCTCCAGATGGAAAGCAGAGCGGAGGCGCTAATGCTGTGATTGGGCTGGCTGCTGCGGTTGGAGTTTTTGAGTTGAAGAGATTTATGTGACTTGTGTTTAGAATTTGGGGTTTCCCGCCCCCCACCCCACCCCTTTGCGATTGTTTGGGATTGCTTTTCTTTTGCGAAGTGGAGTTCGGGTTTTATCATTTGAAGACATTTTCGGTCCTCGAGAATTGGCCGTGCTACAGATTTCAGTGTGCTCGGGCTTTTGTTTTGTCCTCATCAACACTAAGTGAAATCGAGGAAATCAAGGTAGACCAAGTCTGGATAAGAGATCTTATCTGTGTCTTAAGTCTAAAGGTGTCCGGTTTTTGTTGTGCACTCTTACAAGTGGATATATGTGAAAGCGCTGTACAAAGCTATGCAAACGAAAGATTTTAATTCTCTGTTAAGCAGAAATCAGTTTGTTTGTAGTACATGAGTATCTGTAAGAAGAGAATTAATATGGTGATTTTGGAATCAAATCCTTCGCCCTGTGAACAGTTTGTGGGTATTTTTCAGAGCAGGAATAAAAGCAAAGAGAAACAAAAAAGCCCTACAAACTTAATTGTTTAGCTCCTAACTAAATTAGTTGTGAATTTGTGTTAAATTTGCAGGTTTCTTTTGGTGTGAGCAGGGATTTCTTTGCAGTTACTTTGAGTTTCTGAAGGGCTGTGTAATGGCAGGATGCTAGGAACTAGAACAGACTCTTCTGGGTAAAGGGTGAAAGCTTTTTTTAAACCAATCCGTTACACCAGCTCTTCGGTGCGGAGTACTGTAGGCAAAGGGCATTTCGGAGAGAAAACAGGCAGTAGACGGTTTATAAACGTGTCTTGATTTGTCATAGTCTCAAACCGTTGGTTTCATTCTACCAATTCTGTTCCTTTGGAGAACCCTGACTATACAGCTGAAGAATAGAAGACCAGGTACTCAGAGTTTACATACAGCAGTAAATTCTTGTTTTACAAAGTCTGGAGTTGTCCGCACACCTTGGCAAAGGTTTTATCTTTCAGACCTGTGGAATGTGTTTACCCAGGAGGGTTTTCCTAGGTACAAGGATGAGATGATCTCATTAAAGATAACATTTTACTTTTTATGTGATACGATTGGAACTGGTGATCTGGAACTTGGTATTCATCCCAGGCTGGCTTTGAACTCTAGTTCCTACTGCCTGACCCTCCAGATTGATGGGGTTACAGGTGTGTACCACCACAGGTGGCTCATTCAACAAACTTTTTTGTGATGCTGGAGACTGTACCTGGGCTTGACATATGCTAAGCATGTGCTCTGTCATCGAGCCCTCAGCCCCAGCAGACTTTTTCCCCATTAAGTACTTGTGTGGCACAGAACTCGAAACTGAATAAACAAAGATGAGTACCATCTGCTCAGTGAGTTTTGTTGTTGTGTTTTGTTTTTCAAGACCCGGTTTCTCTGTGTAGCCTTGGCTGTCCTGGAACTTGCTCTGAAGACCAGGCTGCCCTTGAACTCAGAGATCCACCTGCCTCTGCTTTCCGAGTGCTGGGATTAAAGGTGTGTGCCACCACTGCCTGGCTCCTCTCAATGTTTTTAACGTGCAAAAAAAGTTTAGCAGTCTGGTAATTATCTAAAATCCTTGAAAACATGTACAAACTTTTGGAATAAGTTTGTTTTTCCTCTATGGAAGTGGAATAAATATCACGTACTATTCTTATCCTCTAACCGCTAAACAATGTTTAACTTTCTAGTTATATGGCTTGTTTTATCCACGTTTTTGTGGGAGCTAACTGGTTTTGACTGAAATAATTGTAACCTCATGATGACTTGTAACATACTCCTTTTGAGGAGTTAAGTGGAGTTAGACTCTATTTTTAGGGGATTCCTTTTGACTCATTCTTGGAGCTGGGATTCCTAATTGCCTATCCAGGGTAGGTTTTTATGTGGACTTAGATTCCATCCTGAAGTACTGCCTCCTCTAGGGTTCTGATTCTGCTCCAGCTCTTCCTCAGGTCCCTCTCTGGTGGTGGCCGTGTTTTTTTTTTTTTTTTTGGTTTTTCAAGACAGGGTTTCTCTGTGTAGCTTTGCGCCTTTCCTGGAACTCACTTGGTAGCCCAGGCTGGCCTCGAACTCACAGAGATCCGCCTGCCTCTGCCTCCCGAGTGCTGGGATTAAAGGCGCGCGCCACCACCGCCCGGCTGGTGGCCGTGTCTTTACCTGATAATCTTGGTCTTAGTCCTTATTCTTTCTCTCCTCTCACTCTGAACTTTACCCATTCTTGATCTTCAGTTACTAGGTATATTTTGAGTTTTGTTGTGTTTTTGAGACAGAGTCTCATTCTAGTCCAGGTTGCCTATGAACTCATGGAAGTCCTGTCTCAGTCTCTCCATGTGCTGTGGAGTTGGAATTACTGATGTGTGCCGCTGTGCTCCATTGGTGTACACAGGGCTGGAGAGTGAGCCTACGACATCTTGGATGCTAGAGAAACACTCTGCCAACTAAGCTCCACCTCCAGCTTGCTTTTATAGCTCCATTTTCTTTTCCTTCCTTTCTGTACTAGGGATTGAACTCACAGCATGGTAGACAAACACTGCCACTGAACTACATCCCTAGCCTTGCTTATATACTTTTTCTTATTCTGTGTATCCTTGTCATGTTTATGTCTTTTTCCTACTTCTTGAAAGTTCAAAGCTCACCCAAAGAGTCTTTGCACACACTCCATCTATTTCCTTTACCCCAGAGGCAAGTCTTTATCCTTACTCCTGTCAAGAAACCTTTCAGGACTAGAGAGATGGCTCAGCAGTTAAGAACACTTGTTCTTACAGAGGACTTGGGTTCGATACCCAGCACTAATATGGCAGCCAACCATCTATAACTCCAGTTCCAGGGTATCCTAACACTGTCTTCTGACCTTGCAAGCACCAAGCACACAAATGGTGCACAGATACACATATGAGCAAAATACTCATACACATAAAATTAAATTAAAAAGAAAGAAGCCTATCTTTCTAGTTTAGCCTAGGGACCTCTAAAATACAGTACTGTTCTAGGAATCTATGCCTATTTGGAAGCCTTGCTATTACATATTGTATATTCTTTTTCTTTGTGTGTGTGTGTGGTTCCCCTGCCACCTTGGTGGTGGTGGTGGTGGTTTGGAGATAAGAGTCTCCCCCTATGTAGCCCAAGTTGACCTCAGTTGGTCTGTGTGCCTTAACCTCAAGTACTAGGATTATAGGTGTGTACACCTGGTTTAAATATTTTGTTTGTATGTTTATGGTCTTATATATGGATATAGTTAGTGATGTTTTGTTGTGGTTGGTTTGTTTGTTTAAAGGTTTATTTTTAATTGGATATGTGGTCCATGCCTTTAATTCCAGCACCTAGAAGGATCTGTGGATCTGTCAGTTCGAGGACAGACAGGACTGTACAGTGAGACCCTGTCTCAAACAAAACAGAGCTAGAGAGATGACTCGGGTTAAGAACACCAGCTACTCTTCCAGAGGACCTTAATTTGATTCCCAGCACCTACATGGAGGCTCTTAACCTTCTTAACTCCAGCCCAGGGGATCCAGTGTTCTCATCTGGCCTCTGCAGGCACATACATATATGAAGGCAAACACTCTTACACATAAAATGAGTTTAAACAAACAAAAATATTTATTTTTATTTTTTGTGTATATGTGTGTGCCTGATAACCAAGGAGACCAGAAGAAGGCATTAGATCCTCTAGGTGCTTGTGAGCCACCCATGGTGGGTGCTGGGAATCGAACCCAGGTCCTCTGGAAGAGCAGCCAGTGCTCTTAACTGCTGGGCCATCTCTCTCGTTCCTGATACTTTGTTTTTAAATCTGTTTTTCTAACTTGTTAAACTTCAGTGATGATGTCTCAGCCTTCCCTGTGCTGATGTTGGTGTGTAGTGGTGGTGTATCTGAGTGCTAGAACACTCACTAATGATGCTCAAGGGCCCAGGTTTGATTCCAGCATCAAAAACAAAACAAAAAATACCGTGTCCCACCCCTCCCCCAAACAACTAGTTCACATAAACAAAGGTACTACATTACCTGTAACATAATATGCATAACATCGAGGAATCATATTTTCAGCAGGATCTTTGCTAAACTTGAGCAGACTGTCAAGTGAAATAAAGATTTTTTTTTTCCTTTTGACACATTGCATCTAGTTTTTAAATCTTGCCTTATTTTGTTGTATGGTTTTGAGACAGAATAACTTAAACTCTGCAGTCCAGGCTGGCCTCATACTCATAATCCCACTGCATCAGCCTCCCAAGTACAGGCTCATGCATTATTGATTTTATCCTATTTTCTGATGTATAATTAGTAACCCATACTAGCCTCAAACTTAGACTATTATGTCTCAGACTCCTAGTACTGGGATTACAGGTGTGAATCACAAAGCCTGGCCTAGGACATCTTATTTTGAGTTTGGAAAAATGGTTAGGAATTGTGGTTTGAATAAGAGTGGCCCCCATAGGCTCATATATTTGAATGCTTACTCATCAGGGAATGACACTACTTGAGAAGATTAGAAGGTATGGCCTTGTTGGAAGAAGTGTGTAACTGGCGATGTGTTTTAAGGTTTCAAAAGCCCAAGCTAGGCCCATTGTTTTTTTCTTCCTGCTGAAGAACCCTCAGCTATTCCAGCAAAATGTCTGTCTGCACACCACCATGCTCCCCACCATAATGACAGTGGACTAAATCTCTGAAACTGTAAGCAAGCCCCAATTAAATGCTTTCTCTTGTAAGAGTTGCTGTGGTCATGGTGTCTCTTTACAGCAATAGAACACTAAGATGGAAATGGTAGCGATAAATTTAGAAAAAAATGAATTGTGATTCTGAAGCCATTGCATCCTCTTGTACTTAAACCTAGAATATAAAAATGGAAAATATGTCTATGATTTGAGATCTTACCTAGGAAAAATTATTTATGTATGATTTATGGTTTGCATCTTAGATGTTCCCCTAAAGCATGAGTTGAAGGCTTTGGTCTCTAGCTGATGATGCTGTTGGGAAGTTTTGGGAGCTTTAGGAGGTAACAGTGTGCCTTTGGAGGGTGTGTTTTGGTTTGACCCTCTGTCTTTGTACTTCCTGGCTGCCATGTGAGCAGTCCTGTCCTTCCCCACACTCCCCTGATGATTCTGTACGTCCAAAGTAATGGTGCCAAATGACGCTGGACTGAGACTGATACCACAAGCAAATCTGTCCTTCCTCCTTTTTGGTTTATCATTGTTATTCTTTGTCATTGGAAGCTGATGGATGCTCAGTGGTTACAAAGCCTTTTCTTTTCTCTCTTTGTTTTGGGTGTTTTGAGACAGGGTTTCATGTAGTCCCGACTGACCTCAAACTTACCATGTAACTGAACATAGCCCTGAATTCTTGATCCTCCTGTCTCTACCTCCCAGGTGCTGGGATTCCAGGTATGTACCACATCCTGTTAGAATAAGTAGCTTTATTATTTGGACCACACCAGGGCTCTCAACAGCTAGGAGCTTTGTTTCCAGCTGCTTTTTATATGTTTTTCACAGGGAAACTGTCCCCTCACTCTGGAGGTTTGAAATTGCATATATATGAGCATAATTTCTTAAGACAGGAAAAATAAAAAGGAGATCTGTGCTCAGAATAGTGTTCTTAAATTCTAATAGCTAATCTTAAAGCCTTAATGTAACATTTTGGTTTTTAAAAAGTGTGTCTAGGACTATATGTTAATACTACAAGATAGGTCCATTGAGCTTGTACTGAATCTCATGGCATGTTGTTATTCCAACAAAAGAACCTTTGATATGAAAGAAAGTGATTAGAAGATGAAAATTGTATAACATTCACATTGCAAATAAACATTTAATGGAACTTGTAATTGAACCTGATTTTTTTTTCCTACTGTATATATGCAGGGGGATTAAGCCCTGAACCTCCTGTGTGCTAAGCGAGTGCTCTACTCTCTTGATCAAAATCCTCAACCTCTGGTGGCTATTTTAATCAGTCTTTCAAATAAAAGTAAATTCCTTCCAATACTCAGTAGTGGATGAAAATCAACAAAAAATAATGGCAGGGACTGTGGGTTTTCAGGGACTCTTGGGCTGAACCTGGTAGCACAGACTGTGATATCAGTACGAGAGGCAAAGGCAAGAAGATGAGGAAGACTGCGGAGGAAGTTCGTACCAGTCTGGATTACGTGAAACACTGTGCACAAAAACTAGCCATTTAAAAATAAAGAGGGCTGGAGAGATGGCTCAATGGTTAAGAGCACTGGCTGCTCTTCCAGAGGACTTGGCTCTTAACTGAGCCAGCTGTCCAGCCCCAGTTTTTGTTTTGTTTTGTTTTTTTTAATAATTTTTTAAAGATTTATTTTATGTGTATGGTGTTCTATCTGCATGTACACCTACGTGCCAGAAGAGGGCACCAGATCCCATTATAGATGGTTGTGTGCCACCATGTGGTTGCTGGGAATTGAACTCAGGACTTTTGGAGGAGCTGCCAATAAGTGCTGAGCCACCTCTCCAGCCCCCAGAGAACAACTTTGGGGAGTTGGTTCTTTCTTAACCCTGTTGAGACAGGGTCGGTCTTGGTGTTCTGCTATGCTACATACCCCAGGCTCACTGCCTTTGAACTTAGGGGCTCTTCTTTCCACTTCCCATCTCCATGCAGGCATGCTGAGATTGCGGATATATGGTATCAGGAGTTCCCTAAGGATTGAATTGCGTTGTCACACTTGTGCTGCTCACTGAACCATCTTGCTGGCTTCCTGGTAATGTTTTATGCTTCATCTCCATGTTGGTCACGTGAGTGTTTAATCTGTGAAGATTCATGAAGGAGTGTGCTTGTGTTTGTGCTGGAGTTAAACACAGGGCCTTGTGCATTCTAGGCAAGTGCTCTACCACTGAGCTAGCTGTACCTCAGCCCTGTTAATTCATCTTACCATATTCTTCAGGAAGTTTACCAAAAAATCAAGATTGTGTATAAAAATTCAGGTTGAAGAATTCTTTTGAAAATACACCAGCCTCTCACAGCTGGAGCTAAGCTAGTCCTCTTTAGGGGTACCTGTGGTCTCCATTTGTTGTAGGCCTCTCCTCCTGTTTAGTTAGTTACTTGTATTACCTTATTGCTATCCAAAGAGTTAAAATGTTAAAAAGAGTTTTATTGAGAAATAATTGAAATCTTACATGTCAGTCATTTTCTTTTAAGATTTATTTTTATCTTATATATAACCTGAAGTTCCAGCTCACTTATTTAAAGCATCCAAAAGGGGCTGGAGAGAGAGTTCCACAGTTAAAAGCACTGGATGCTCTTCCAGAGGACCTGGGTTCAACCCCCGAAACCACACGGTGGCTCACACCTGTCTGTAACTCCAGTTTCATGGGATCTGTTGGCCCTTTTTTTGGCCTCTGCAGGCACCAGGCACACATATGGTACACCGACATACATGCAAGCAAAACATTCATACACATTAAAAAGAAGAAAATAAACTACCAAAGAAGATTTCTAGTGTGTGCACAAGGATATACAGGCATCACCACAGTTAATTAAGAGTACTTGGTTCCTCTTAGAGGACTGGTTAATATCCTAAAGTGATAGCGCCACCCCTCAGACTTAGACAGCCACTAATCTACTTTCAGTCTAATTACAGGTGCTTGAATTTGTCTAGATAATTTTGAATTTTATCTAGGTAATTGTAGATATTTGAATTTTGTGTTCTTTGTTATAAAAAATTAGAAGAGAGGTTTGGTAGCACACGCTTATAATCCCAGAACTTGGGCAGCTGGGGTAGAAGGATTGTAACGTTTAGGCTATGGCGTGCCTAGCAGGACTCTGTCTCAATATTTCTTGGGTGGGTGGTATTTCATTTTATATTTCCATGTACCACTGAGAAAAGTCGTGGCAAGAAGAAGTCAGGGAAGGAACCTGGAGGCAGGAACTGAAGCAGAAGCCATGGAGGAGTGCTGTTTACGGGCTTACAAATCTGTATTTTAAAAGATTTTTTTTCTATTTTATGTATGTATGTCTGAGTGTGTCCTTTGTGTACCACATGTGTGCAGGAGTTCTTGAAGGTCAGAAAGAACATTGGATCCCTTGGAACTGGAGTTACAGGTGGTTGGGAACTGCTATGTGGGTTCTGGGAACTAAACCGATGTCCTCTCCAAGAGGAGCAAACACTTAACTACTGAGCCATCTTTAGCCCCTCAAAAAATAATTAAAAAAAAAATTGTAGATAAGGGTTGACACACACCTGTAATCCTAGCGTGTGGGAAGTAGAGGCAGAAGGATCAAGGCTAGCCAGGGCTACACAGTGACATAGTGAGACCCTTTCTCAATCTCCCCTCATCCCTCCCCCCTCAAAGTCATTGTATATTATTTTATTACAGAGGCTTCTAACATTATATAAAATATTCTTTTTTTTTTTTTTTTTTTTTGGTTTTTCGAGACAGGGTTTCTCTGTGTAGTTTTGCGCCTTTCCTGGAACTCGCTTTATAGACCAGACTGGCCTCGAACTCACAGAGATCCACCTGCCTCTGCCTCCCGAGTGCTGGGATTAAAGGCGCGCGCACCACCACCGCCAGGCTTTAATATAAAATATTCTTATAGCCAGTATTCTGTATTTATTTAGGAATAATTGCAAATGTAGTATTACTGATCAAAAGACAGTATTTTAGAGTTTTTTCTTGAAGAGTGGCATTTGAGAGAAGGTCTCTGTTTAGACCAAGTGTCCTTAATTGAACTGTAGCTGTCTGCCTCTGCCTCAGATGTGCCACTGTGCACGGCAGTATTTCAGTTCTTGATAAATATTGCTCAGATGTCTTCGAGAAGTATGTATGCCAGATCACACTTGCCATTGCTGTATGATATTAGAACATCCACAAATCTAGTAATATTGGAAATACATTTATTGGACATGTTTACTTTCCAAGACTGAATAGTATTTAGAATTCTCAATTTGATCTAAGCTTAGGCTGTTTTAGACGTGGATACCAGTACTGTCCTTTTTGAATGAAGACAGCCCCACTTACGAGGCATTGTGGATGAATGTGGTATCCCATACTTTTCCAGCTGGTTCCTGAATGTTCTTGAATTCAAACAGAATGGCTCTTTGCCAGTGTAAATTGGCACTTCAGCCCACAATGGTGTGTTTTATTTCCTTGTTGGTTGTTAGAGCCAACATTTCAGATGCCTCTCTTTTCAGTTGGTTTTATAATTTGATTCATGATAAATTATATTTTGTGTTTCTCAAATGTTGTTCATAGCCAGGAACACTTTTGAAAACAAGTTGTTTTCATGTTTATGCCACATAGATTACTGTTTGCCTGTTAGCTGCCATAATTCTTTTTCTTAGAAATTGTCACTAGCTAGTTATTAAGCATCTATTATCACTGATGTGGAATTAACTTCCACTTAAAACGTTCCAGTTAAACAAAACTTCATTGTAAACCCCTTAATTGATTCCTTGTCTGCACTATAAAGCATACTCATTCAGGGATGTGAGTCACTAGCACAGTTCTTAATGGATTGCTCAGCTCTTGATCTGGGATGCCCAGATAGTGAGTTCTTAACTTGGTGAACCTGTCTTCAATTTTTTTAGTTTAGTCCAGATTTTCTGGAATGACTGTCCGGGAAATACCTTTTTTTAGGGGGTGAAGTTGAGACAGGGTTTCTCTTTGTAACAGTCTTAGCTGTTCTGGAACTTGCTCTGTAGACCAGGCTGGCCTCGAACTCACAGAGATCTGCCTGCCCCTGCCTCCCGAGTGCTGAGATTAAGGCGTGCACCTCCACCTCCCAGCCGGGAAATATCTTTATGAAAATTTGACATCTTATTATTGTTAATGTCACTGCTGTTACTTTGCTTCCTTCCTTACCCTGGAGTGCTGAATTCTTTGTAATTTTTCAGTTGTTTTATGAATTTTATTGTGCCAGAGATAGTATTAAGCAGTGTGAACCTTAGAAATTAGCTAGTTTGATATTCTCCATTTATGTCACAGTTGGAAATATGGAAAGGGGATGGAGAGATGGTTCAGTGGTAAGGAGCACATACTGCTCTTGCAGAGGACCTCAGTTCAGTTCTTAGACACCTGTAACTCAGCTCCAGGGAATTTGAGATGCCTCTGGCATTAGTGGGTACCTGCATTCCTATGCATGTGTGTGTGTGTGAAAAGAAATATGGAAAATAAGACCTGATTCTTGAAGCATGTGAATCATGTTTTGAAATCACTGTCCTTGGTTCCTAGTCCATTCTGCTCAGTTTCACAAAATTTAGGGTTAAGAATCAATCCTTAGTTCATCTATAGATTTTGTTTGTTTTTTGAAGCAGGGTTTCTCGGTTGTAACCTTGGCTGTCTCCTCAACTCAGTGAGTCTACTATGCTTTGTTTGTTTTTCCTCTTTGCTCTGAAAACCCTCCAGTGAGCTCAGATAATTAGAGGTTTCATGTTGTTCCCTCTTCTCAGGCATTTCTGTAATGTATTGCCTATTTTTAAGGAGTGAGTAACTAACTACTGCTTTATAGATTTCCCCCTTAGTGTTAATTAAGGTATACAGACATACAATCAAGATCATGTTATATTCCAGGATGGCCTCGAACTAATGATCTCTTGCTTTAGCATCCTGAGTGCTGCGATTATAAACTTGCTACCATGCCTAGTCTGTCTGACTTTTAAAAAAAATTTTATTTTACTTTTAATTCTGTGTATATGTGTGTATCTGTGTGTGGGTTTGTACATGTGAGTGTCAGATCTGGAGGTGGAGTTACAGGTGGAAATGAAATGCCTGATGTGGGTGCTGGAAATTGAACTCAGGTCCTCTACAGGAGCAGTATATGCTGTTAACTGCTGAACCATCTTTCAGGCCTCTATCTGGCTTTTATTTTATTTTAAAATTGATTTTATTTATTTTATGTGTATGAATGTGTTGCCTACATGTATGTCTGTGTACTACATGCATGTCTGCCTGCAGAAGCCAGAAGGCATTGAATCTCCTGGAGTAACAGGTGGTTATGAGTCACCATGTGGCTGTTGGAGGTTGAATCCAGGTCCTCTAAAAGAGCAGCTAGTACATACGTGTGTACACACACACACACACACACACACACACACACACACACACACACACACGGAGCAGGATGTAGTGGCTCACACTTGTGTTCTCAGGATACTGAGTCAGTAGGATTCCGGAGAGCTCAAGGCAAGACTCCAAAGTAAGATCCTTTCTTACAAAAAGAAAAAAGAAAGGAAGAAGAGAAAAAAGAAAGAAACTGCTCAGCCCACTGGTCCCTTGCACTGTTCCCAGTTAGCGTTTTTATTTTAAGGGTAGGGAGAGGAAGCTAAACTTGGTAGTACTTGCCTGTGTAGTCTTAGCACTTAGGAGGCAGAGGCAGGAGGATTGCCACGAATTCTACAACAGCTTAATCTAGATAGTAAGTTCTCGGCTAGCCAGGGCCAACTCAGAGATGCTGTCTTGAAAACCCAAAAACCAAGTGTGTAGATAGATGGATGGATGGATAGATTGATGGATTGATTAGAGGAGGTTGATCACATTTCTATGTGTTGGCTTTTGTTTTCCTCAAAAATATGAGAGCCTTTGAGAATCTGGGATTGAGCTGGGACCACATGATTTAAGGTGCAAGTTTAAAGAGCCATGGCCAGAATGAAACATCTCTGGAAAACAAGCAGATTGGTTTCTGAAAAATGTTGGACAAAGGTGAGAAACTGAAACTTGAAGGAAGAATGGTTAACTTCAGCCCGACATTTGGGCTGATGCTGGA